TCTGTTCTCATCCTGAAGCAACGTTCTTAACCCGAGGTAATATTTCTGGAGTCTGTAACCTGAAGCATATGTACCCCAAGGTACCACTGTATCAGCCATCAGTTGTTGTAGCAGAAGCAAGGAGATAAAGGGGAGGAGAAACTAAATTCACAGTTCAGGAACGCTGTCCTGTAGTGAAGAGTACATTAACCCCTCAATGGCTTTCTCCTCTCAGTTCAGTGGATCTTGATTAAAGGTTGTTGCTTGTTCAAACATGATGAACTATAAAGGTAAAGGGTAAAGGGACCCCCTGACCATTAGGTCCAGTCGTGACCTTTCTGGGTGGTGGTGCTCATCTCGCTTTATTGGCTGAGGTAGGCGGCGTACAGCTTCCGGGTCATGTGGCCAGCATGACTAAGCCAATTCTGGCGAACCAGAGCAGCGCACGGAAACACCGTTTGCCTCCCCGCCGGAGCGGTACCTATTTATCTACTTGCACTTTGACGTACTTTCAAACTTCTAGGTTGGAAGGAGCTGGGACTGAGCAGCAGGAGCTCACCACGTCGCGGGGATTCGAACCGCCGACCTTCTGATCGGGAAGTCCTAGGCTCTGTGGTTTAACCCACAGCGCCACCCGCATTCCTATGATGAACTATAATCCACTGTAATCCCCTCTGATGCCCTTGAGAGAAGCAGTGAGCTGTCTTGGCAACCCAAGCATCTCACAAAGTTATCCCTCTTCTGTCTTTTCAGGTCCTTAGTTCTCAGCTTAGGTTTTTCATTAATTGATTATTAATTTTTTGTCCAGTTCTTGTTGAAATCTCAGATAATGTGCGGATTTCTCCATTAGAGCTGTATCTCATCTCCTGAATTGATATCCAGAGAGCCAGGGCACGGTAGCTCTACCTCTCTTTTAAATCAGAACCAGTGAAGTCGGTGAAGGTCCTGTGTGAGTGTCTGGAGGCGGTTGGAGGATGGATGGCGGCTAACAGATTGAGGTTGAATCCTGACAAGACAGAAGTACTGTTTGGGGGACAGGAGGCGGGCAGGTGTGGAGGATTCCCTGGTCCTGATGGGGTAACTGTGCCCCTGAAGGACCAGGTGCGCAGCCTGGGAGTCATTTTGGACTCACAGCTGTCCATGGAGGCACAGGTCAAATCTGTGTCCAGGGCAGCTGTTTACCAGCTCCATCTGGTACGTAGGCTGAGACCCTATCTGCCTGCGGACTGTCTCGCCAGAGTGGTGCATGCTCTGGTTATCTCCCGCTTGGACTACTGCAATGCACTCTACGTGGGGCTACCTTTGAAGGTGACTCGGAAACTACAACTAATCCAGAATGCGGCAGCTAGACTGGTGACTGGGGGCGGCCGCCGAGACCATACATTGGCTCCCAGTACGTTTCCAAGCACAATTCAAAGTGTTGGTGCTGACCTTTAAAGCCCTAAACAGCCTCGGTCCAGTATACCTGAAGGAGAGTCTCCACCCCCATCATTCTGCCCGGATGCTGAGGTCCAGTGCTGAGGGCCTTCTGGCGGTTCCCTCATTGTGAGAAGCAAAGCTACAGGGAACCAGGCAGAGGGCCTTCTCGGTAGTGGCGGCCCGCCCTGTGGAACGCCCTTCCAGCAGATGTCAAAGCAATAAACAACTACCTGACATTCAGAAGACAACTTAAGGCAGCCCTGTTCAGGGAAGTTTTAACGTGTGATATTTTACTGTATTTTTGGTTTTTATGGAAGCCGCCCAGAGTGGCTGGGGAGGCCCAGCCAGATGGGCGGGGTATAAATAATAAATTATTATTATTATTATTATTATTAGTGTTTTGGAATGGCACGAGCCAACCAGGGTCCAAATCTCACTCAGCCAAGGAGTTCTCAGGATGAGTTTGAACTAAGCACACCCTCTCATACCCTAACATACCTCACGGGGTTGCTGTAATAATACAATGGGAAAGGGAGAATTATGTAAGCCAGCGTGAGCTCCTTGGAGCAAAGGTGGCATGAATGGATGGATGGATCAATTGATCCATCGATTGATCTAATTCCCACACACACTGCAGAGCTCAGCTAGCTTCTGAATATACTCTTGATGGTGGAGCAAGGTTTGGATCCCACTCAGCAAGGGGGTTGAGTGGGTCAACTTGGGCATTGGGAGAGTGGTGTTGTGTGTGTGTGTGTGTGTGTGAGAGAGAGAGAGAGAGAGAGAGAGAGAGAATGGTAGAATCACAACTTGAATTGCCCTCCAAGATGGCGCCGAAGCTGTGCCACAACTCTATGATTCTATGTTGGAGAGACTCTTGGAACGATAGGAGTTGTGTCAAGACATAGCAATTTGGGGCCACGGGAACCTGTGTGAAGGACTGAATATCAGTTCAGAAACTTGACAGTTGCACCAGCACCTGCCCAAGTGGCAACGATAATTCTGCCATCTGAGCGGGTGGCCACAGGGGATTTCAGTGGGGCATGGTCGAGGTGCCAGCTGGCAATTGCTAAAGTGCAGTCAATAGAGTTTTCTAGCACATTGGTAGGCAGCATAAGGAAAAATATATATGAAAAGCAGCAGTTTGAATATGAAGTGATACTTGCAGCTACATACCTAGAACCTAAATATTATGCTGTTTGACATGGACAGAATTAAAGTGTCGTCACATGTTGTCTTGGAGGAGGAAGGGAGTTGTTCTTCATGCCAATAACATGGATATAGAATCACCATCCCATAACTCCACTCTTCATATTCCATGTACAGAACAGGAACAAGGGTGAGCTGGAATCATTCCTGAAGTCAAGAGATAACTTGAAGTAGCATGACCTTCTGAAACTCTTGTTAAGATGAGCTATTGTTGAATAGAGGGATGTGGGTGGCGCTATGGTTTAAACCACTGCGCTGCTTGGACTTGCAGATCGGAAGGTCAGCGGTTCGAATCCCCGCAACAAGGTGAGCTTCCATTGTTTGGTCCCAGCTTCTGCCAACCTAGCAGTTCAAAAGCACGTCAAAAGTGCTCACCATGTCATGGGACTCATGAGCTGTTCCAGTTGGCTCAACTAACTTTGTCAGTGTTATGAACTCAAATAAGCACTGAATGGGCATTTCCAATTTAAAATGCACATTGTCTTCAAAAAGCCCAATATGAAGAAGGTAACATTGGAGGATATGTTGTTAGTGAGGCTGAGTGGGAATTACGGAAAGCTCTAACATGGAATATAAAACAACTGTGCATGTTGGAATATGATAGGCCAATGTCAACTCAGGGCCCTTCGTTTACGGTTAATACTTCTTTGCTTCCAGTTTTCTTAACTGTGTTGGAAAATGATACAATTTAGGATTTAACCAATCAGAGTGACAGTTCTGTGGTGATTTACCACGTCATGTCTTTCCCTCCCTCCTATAAAATTGATTTGGTTGCTTCTTTCTTCCCAAATGATTTTATTGTGAAATCAGAGTGCAAAACACAGCCCAAATCCATGGGTACTCCATTGTTCTTGTTTCATGCATCCTACGCTGCACTTGCAGACACTTAGTCACAACAGTTATCGCTGTATTGACTTCCTCCACCCCACTCTGGAAATGTGATCCTTACAAATCATATTCCTTATTTGGAAATGATATTCATGCAAACCAGAAATGAAGTGGTCAGTTACGTGTACTGACATGGTT